GAAATGTGGCAAAAGGTTGAAAAGTTCAAGGGGGCCGAATACTTTCGCAAGGCACTGTATATTATTCTAACAACTATCTGACCTACACCATAATCCAAGATGACTTTCAATAATACAATTGCACTATATGCAGAAACAGTATTGAGTACATAATCAAACAATCAAAGCAGCATCAGCAGGACTCGCAGGCCTAGGCATTCACTCTTTTCACTATTTTTACTATTTTCATGATTACCTTTTGAAGTCATGATATTCTAATCAAACAGGAAGCTTCAGACAGAAAACTGAACTAAAGTAAAAATAATGTGGCAGAGCGAATCAAATTTAATTTGAAAACATGCTTTTATTTAATAATCAATGACTATATTTAAAATTTGAGTTATTTAAAGATTATAGAGATATCTAAAGATTTGATGCTTTCTTAGTAAAACCTATTTAATAAATAAGGCCACGTCTTATGATAATCTAGAAAAATCTGTATTCCAAAAAGAAATGTTGCATTTGTTATTTTAACTGTGGTGTGATGTATGAAACTGTTTTGATTTGGATTCCTGGACCAACACGAACATTTACTCAATTACTGAACTCCCTGAAGTTGGGTGAAATATATGACCATTTAGATGTTACCACATGCATTATATCTTTTATATACTATAAAAAATATCCATATTAAGATCACTGTAACTATAGAGAATAATATGGGGGAAGGTCATATTTAAAATACATTAAACAAATCAGTTTAAACAGCTTAGGTACAAACAGGAGTTATAGATGTTAAGAGCATCTACACTTTTACTAGTGGTTTAACTTTATTTCTTTAAATTTGTAAGATTTTATTAAATCATGGTCCATATTTAAAAAAATGTGATTATAATGACTCAAGGTAAACTATGCATGAATAGTCCATATGAAGTAGCAGCAACTTCATCATTTAGCCAATAAAAAATGAATGAATTAATTCTTAGGAGATTTTCATCATTTAGATCCAGGGTGCCTAACCTTTTTTATTGCAAGATCTACTTTTCATTTGCCAGTCCAGCACGATCTACCACTGTGAATTTGAAGCTCTGATATAGGGAAAACAGACTGTGGACACATCAGTACAGTAACGATACCCATCACTAAAATGACAGCAAATAAAAGCAAGTGACTCATGCTACAGTGAACAAGAAATGTTCCCCAATTTAGAAAAAAAGAATATCCTATCTTAATGTCAGCATTGGTACTGAGAAGCTTACTTGAGAACACTTGTCATTTTTTTACGTGTTTACACTGCTGATCATGTCGATGACATTTTTATTGTGTCCCTGCAGCTCGAAATTCAGCAGTTCAGTCAAGTTTGTGAGGCATATTCGCCATGTTTAGATGACTTGAGAAACTCTTTGATTTCAGGCAACAGCTGTCTGAACCTTGCCAAAAATGTATGTTTTTGAAATCTCCAAACAGCAAGTCAGCAGCCTCAGCAAACGTTTTTTTTTTTTTTAATTCTCGATCCCTGAATGATTTTTTTTTTGATTAGCCAGGGCATGGCTCACACGGAACGATGCGATGATTGACGCTTTCCCTCTTGTATTAGGCTTCATGAAAACCGACTGCTGCTAGTTGAGATTTAATGTTTCCCACTTCTCTTTTCTGTAACTCACTTTTAGCGGAAAGTCCACATCATACGTTTTGTGTGCAGTTTTGAAATGTTGTTCTGTATTTCAAATTTTTGCGTAGACGCTAGCATTGCAGATTTGAACGGAAAGTACAAAAAATAATCATACTCCCATTCCTCGATCTCTTTGCTTAATCGTTTTCACTCAAACACTACAACTATCGAAAAAGGCAATCATACTTATCAAACTGTTGGCTTATTTGTCACAGCCATTCTGTTTCGCTTCACTATGCGCTGTAGGGAATGTGGGGTTCGTGCGGCAATAACTAAGGGAACTTGGGTAGCACACACAACACTATTTAAGGAGCTCCTGTCGTCTCCCCCGCCCCCCCAGTATCAGCCAGCACTCAGCGAAGAGACTTTTACAACACATTGGACAAGGGTTAAACACACACAACGGTAGTAACATGTATGACGTTACATGCACAGCTCTGAATAAAGTTTTAGGCTATCGAAAAAAGTAAATAGTCAAACAGCCCATTTTTACATTTATTTCTTGTTATCGATCGACTGGCAAGCGCTCCGCGATCGACTGCTTGGGCACCACTAAGATAATTTTTCATGTCTAAATATTTATAAAGCTATTCATGCAACCAATCTCAAAGGATTAACTTTCAAACTGAAACTTAAGACAATTGACTTAATCAGAATATTGATATAGAAATCTAACTGTAGAAAAAAAAAACAGAAACCTTTGTACAGCTGTGTACAGTTATGTCCCATTCCTAGGTATTTATATATAGATATAGTGGCTATCATAAGTATTCACCCCCTTGGACTTTTTATATGTTACTATGATAGAATATAGAATCACAATGCATTTAGTTGGGATTTTTTGCTGTTGAACAAAACAACGCTCTATAATGTCAAATTGAAAACAAAATTCTACAGATCTTCCTAAATTAATTAGAAACAGAAAAAGGGATTGCATAAGTATTCACAACCCTTTACAAACCTAAATAGGCACTAATGGTGCTTCACATGAGTTCAGGATAAATATACACATCTCTGGGATGTCCCACAGTTGACTAGTACTGCCCCCCAGAAACAGTACTGTACTGTTTATCATGAAGACAAACATTCTAAATAAATCTGCAATAAAGTCATTGAAAGCACCAATCAGGGGAAGGGTATAAGGAAATTTCCAAGGCATCATACTTCCCCCAAAGCACAGTAAAGTCCATAATAAAGGAAAGGAATAAAATATGGCATAACTGTGAAGAACAGGGTGTTCTCAAAAAAGTATGCAGGCAAGAAGAGCACCAAGAGGCCTGTGACAACTCTAATTATTAGAGTCTTCCATGGCTGAGATGAAACTGTGCATATAACAATTGCCTGGGTGCTTCACAAATTTGGGCTTCATGGGAGAGTCACAAAAAACTCTCATCAAATCTCGACTATACTTTTCCAGAAGGCATATGGGAGACTCCAAGACCAAATGGAAGAAGATTCTATGGTCTGACAAGACCAAAATTGACCTTTTTGGTCTCTGTAAGTGTTATGTTAGGTGTCAGCATAACAGTGAACATGTGTAAAAGCGAGGCATGGTGGTGGCAGTGTCATGAGGAAGCTTTGCTGCACTGGCCTAGAAGACTTGTGAAGATAAAAGAATATATTGAAGCAGCAAAGTGAAATCCTGGTGGAAAACCTGCTGCAGTCTGCAAGAGACATGGGACCTAGGAAAAAGGTTCATATCCAGTAGGACAATGACCCAAAATATACAATTAAAGTCACACTGGAAGAGTTTGAAAAGAAAAAAAGTCAATGTTCTGGAGTGACCCAGACAAAGCCCAGTCCTCGGTCCAATGAAGAAACTGTGGCAGGAATTGAAAATTTCTGTTCACCAACTTTTTCCATACAATCTGAGGCAGTTTGAGCACTTTTAATAGAAAATTTGGAAAAACGCGACCAGACATGTTCAGTTTTATATTTCTAATTAATTTAATAATTAATAAACACAATAAACTGTAGATAAGTCAGAGGGGGTGAATACTTTCCATAGCCACTGCAAGTTAAAATACCTCTAATGCACCCTAATGAGTATCTTAAACTGTTAATTTATGAAACAGTGCTCTTGATTTTTATAGTACTGGCTTAATGTTTTTTTAAAGTTATGTGTACAATCTTGATAATAATTTTGAGTTTATTTTCTTTTAAAGAACAGGGATATTTCTGCAATTAAAATAAAAACAGTTGTTTAATTTGAAAACAAATATTTCGCTCTCTCTGCAGATCACAAGCCTGTCATTCTGGTAGTGATGCATCACACTTACAATGCTGACTCTGTTGTGGTTGAAAGCAGCAGACTGGTGTACAGAAGCAATATACAATGTACTGTTGACTGTCTGTTCCATGAATCTAAGGGATTGCTGGAAAATTGTGAAATCAATAATCAAGCTGTTGTATCAGTCAACAGATTTGCATCTGGCATAAAAAAATATACAACACTGGAAAGAAGTCTTCTGTATTTCTGTACAAAAATTCCAGGTTTGTTTTGGTTCACGCAAAAGTTTATTTTGTGGTAATGTAATGGAATACTCATTAAGGACTTCCAATACAATTGTATTGTCAAGTAATAATCAAGAGCTAAAAAAAGCAATATATGATCAAATACTTGAGAAGCTTAAAGTGATCAACAATAACCAGACTTTAGGGTCAGTGATAATTCATCTTCATTGAAGTTAGTTATCTTGAGCATGTAAAGAAAACAGGAATAACTTATGTCATCACCATGTGTTGTGTGTTTGTATACAAGTGATTTTAAAGAAAAGTAACAGTTGAAATTACATTCTACTAATAAAAAGAGATACTGAAAATAAAGCCTCACAGTAATGTTATGGTATCTTTAAACTAGCACACAGATGTCATCCTTGCATCATGATCATAAGAAGAACATTTATAGATGAGATTTCAAAATACTTCAGAGGATGTTTATACAATATTCTGGTGTTTTCCCATTTAGCATATCATCAATATATTTTATAAGATAAATTAGAAATACTCAAGCAGTGTCTGGTAAGATGTTTTGACAGCTCACAATACCAAACATACATGCTCATACTGTATATTGCTGAGTTCTACAATGTTATTATTCTTTTATACAAAACAGTACTATTCTGTGCCTTAAATGTATGTGCCAAATGAATTATAAATAAATGTCTTGTTTGGCCTCTTGCTGTTTCTGATCTACAATATCTGAAAAACCAACACATAAGCATTCTAAAAGAACATAGAGATTCTTAAAAGAATTAAGTGCAGATACGTCTCAAAAAGCTCAACATCATATAAACCAAGAAAAAAATCAATACTGCACAAAACATTCAGCAATAATTGTTTAATCTTTTAAAATGTAACACAAAGACTCCACCACACTGAGATTGTTGTAAACCCATTATACATATTCTTTCCTCACTCACTACAGATTTCCTTCTTTTCATTTAATCCTCACACAGGCTCCAAACAGTTGACTCAGCATTTTTTTCTTCTATTCTTTTCATGAAAACAAACAGCTCACAGTCTGATATGTACTCACTTCTGTCAAGGTCCCTCTCTGTCCCTGCAGTGGAAACATGACAGATGTCACTCATCGTCAGAGAGCCAGGATTTAGATAGGTAGCCTCTACCTGTCTTCTTGTACATTCAGTTTCCTTTTGGCTGCACTTTCTGCTCTCTGGTCTTCACCGGCAGACAACCAGGAGCTGATAATCAGCCCTCCCACCCTGCTACATCATGGCTCCAGCCCTCCAGTTTCCCTAGTACCCAACACCACACACTGCTCACTAGCAGAGCCAAGAGTGTGATACTCCGTTCCTCACCCTTCCTATATCAAGGCGGAGGTCTCCCAACAGATTTTCTAATCTAGTCTCCTGTCATTCTGGCCCAAGCAGCTCGGCGACTACCATTCAAACACACTCTTTTCTCACATACTGTCCCTTTGAATTATCCCATTACTTGAATTTATCAATCACTCAAGCATGACAAGACAGGAGACATGACCTGCTAGAGTCCAGGTCTTTTTCTGCAGGAGCATCTGAGAGCTAGATGAGATGATGTTCACTTTCTGGGAAACACTGCTGAGTCTTCTCCACTTCCCATCTTCCCTCACACAGTTCTCTCTCAGAAGCACACGAGCTACACCTCCTGACAGTCTATAATCTAGGATACACCTCTCTAGTGCCTCAAAACACTAGTGTCCCAATCTGTTCATAAAGACTGGTGACAAAATTTTCATTCTTCCCAGAAGAATTCCAAAACAATCATTTTCAGTAATCCCTAAAAGTTTGAAAGTAAATGTGTGTTGTAATGTGTTATTGTAACGGGTGACTGTTAACAAGATGGTAATTCACATTTACCTGTTCCATTTTTCATCATTAAGTAACACACTCCATAATGGAACCGGTTCACAAAGAACTTGCTTTCAAGATAAATAACCTAAAAACACAACACTTCCTAGACTTTGTGAAAGCTTTCTGGTCTTAACCTACTCTGCTAATCTCTGGGAGATGAGTATAACGGAAATAGCTAAAGCTAAAGCTTTTCCGACGCACTTACGAACATGACTGCTAAAATAAAAACAGATCAGATGAATGAAAAAGTGTGATAAAATTGCAGTCAAGTAACTTTTACCTTTTCAGTAATATTTTTCTATAGTTTATCATATTAGGTCTTTTTTCTCAACTGTCTTTCAATAAAATAGTATCAGGGGATTAGTACAGCTCCCAACACAAACTTCATCATGAAGCCAAAGAAAAATTCAAAGCAAATCTGACTTAAAGGAGGCTCTCCAGTCAAAACTGTTTTACTCTTCCTACTTTTAAACATTGGATTAACCTCTACTTGTTTCTTTCAAATTCACACACTGATGCAGCTTCATGATATATGCTTGCATTAAAAGAAAGAGCTGTGTACCTTTTATTTTTAGATACCTTTTATTATCTATAGAATTCTTTTCCAATGCTTTCTCTCTTATGCCTGCTTTTTCAATGCCATTAATCATGGTATCTTACATGAATACAACAAATCACTTCGACATTTGTAGCCCCATTCTTAGGGGTATACTCTTAGAGGTGATGATAACTCTTAAGAGGACCATAAAGTACTTCAAATTAACATTTTTAAAACAACATTATGATTTTATGACCATGTAGTTAAACATAATTTAAAAGGTACTTTTGGTTAACTCTCTTATTTACAATTTTTGACCAAGACAAATATTCACTAAAGCAAAGATGCATTTGAAACAAATGAAGAATTTTGAAAAAAAGACAGTTAAAATATTGTGCTGTTTTTATTTTGTGTAAAAATCACACAGCTGCTAGTTCATTCTGCAGAGATACATCCATGCAGTTTAACATCTATGATCCCACAGCCATAATATAAGCAATTAAATAGAATATTTGCTGTTAGTCAGCAATTAATGCAAATTTACATATGAGATCAAAAGGTGTGTATCATACAATATACAACATACCCCTTATACAGTACATCAACCTGAACAGCAGGAAATAAAGGCTCTCCTTTCTTCCATACAGGGAGAATATCTTAAAGAGAAAACCTGACTGAATATCAGGAGTAAGGCTTAGAGAAAATGTGAAGAAAAGGAAACACAAAAAGGTCCAGACGACAGACAGCACTGGACTTAGAGCTGACGGCTATGTGAGTCAAGTACCAACACAAGTGAAGTTATAGTAAAGATATACAGATACAAACCAAGTGGTTGGTTTTAAGAGCTTTTACACTAGATAAAGACAACATGCAGATTTAACCTGTGTTGAGGAAAAGAAAAAGTGCAGTTATTAGATCTCAGTTTCACTTTTACAGTTGGTACATTCTTGGGGAAAGCTGTATTGGTGTAGATTTGATTCTGAACATGAACCACACGAGATACATGCAGAGCCTGCATGATTTTTAAAAAGTGCGGTTGTCTTGGGTTGAGTACTGTACAAGGTACATAACTTATTGTATTACAGTTTCAACCGCTGAGGACTAACAAAAATAAGCCTGTTGCAAGATGCTTAAGATTAGTAATCAGTTCCCTGTTGCACACCCAGATAAAGTCTTCACTGTTATTGCAGCACAAAGGTAGGATTGAAGTACGCTGAATGACTGGCACAAAATTATTCAACACAGTATTGCAGAAGGAAAGTAGCAATTGAGCCAGTCCTGGGTGTCCTGTCTCACCATTTTCTGGCCAGTGTGATTATCTGCATTCCAAGTTAAAATATGCCACCTACAGTATTAATGTAATATGCTATATTGGCATACTCAGCTGAAGGCCCACAACAGAAGGATGAGTCCTACAAAGACAAACTGTCTAGATGGGCCTTAAAAAGCCTGACAAGTCTGTTCCAGTTTAATTGTGTGTTCTTTCTGTATTTTAAACACTTGCATCTGTGCTGTTATAAGGGGTTTAGCTTCGTTTGCTTTAAAAGTTCTCTTTGAAATGATAACATTCCTACTCCAAACCCTTTAATATGTTCTTAAGCCAATTTCTGTGTCTCTTTCAGAAAGCTGCATGTTGCAAACGTTTTCCTTGTATACGCCGAGATGGAATATAAAGACACAAAGCTGAGGCACACATGAACATGAACATCCTGGAACGGCCACAAGCCCTGTAGGCCTCTGCATTTTCCCCAACATCGGCTTACAAATGTGAAAATGGTCTCAGCTGTTCCAGTTGAACCTCCAGAGATATTCTCTCTTCAAGCACATCCTGTAATGCAAAATAATACTAGTCTGAAATCAGGACTGCAAATCTCCTTATTCCAACAAGGTTATCATTAACGTAGACCGAGTCATGAATACTTTTAAGTGTATAAATGTTCATAAGGGAACAGGTCTTGATAATACAGGTGCATTTATTTTGAAGTTCTTTGCAAGAGAAATAGCTTCAGTGCAGCAACCAATTTTCCAGATGTCTGCAGACACACATGCTATTCTCGTAGCATGATAAACTCCCATATTATACATTATACATACTAAAGAATTCAAGCCCAGGAGAACACAATGATTTCAGGCCGGTTGTTCTTAAATCAGTTTTAATTAAATCACTGAAGGGGATCTTGGTTCAGAATCTCACCCAGTCAGTAACAGGTAAAAGTGATTCATTTAAATTTGCTTATAAACAAAAGTGATGCACAGAAGATGCTGTAGTGGCCCTTACACAGATTATTTCAAAGCATTTGGAAAAATGTAAAATTTATGCTAAGATACTTTTTCTTGACTTTTCTTCAGCCTTTAACACAATCTGACAGGACATTTTATTATCAAAAATGATTCAATTCCAGATATGTACTATACTACCAAGATATGCTTATTTTTTAGTATACCCACATGACTTTCTAGGTACCTGTGATTAAAGTGCTATTGTAATGGGTTATAATGGACGCTGTTATTTTGTATAGTTTTCACTATGATGTTATTTTGTTCAATATTTTTATCTGTTATCTACCCGTAGAGTCTACAGTTTTAATCGATAATTTACTACTTATGTCTGTGAAACACAGTGAGAGGGAGCTCCCGTTGCCTTTCCTCATTCACACTAAAAGCCACTGATGAGGAAACAACGAGTTGAGTGACTGATTATTTAATCATTTCCCTCTTCAGGGGCGCTACACTATCAGTGTAAAGATTGTAAATCATTTGATACTAACCCTAGTATAGAATACATTGTGAAAAACAGCTAACAGTTATAGGAGCATCCACACAGGGGAAGTATGCACAGTTTCTATCTGTCATGCACTAGTATCTGAGTATTCCATTTTATTGTTTGGATCTTATAAAACATGTTTGTCTTGCATCTGTGTGCACCACTAAAGAGTTTAAATCCAGTTTCATAAACCCAAAGGACGTTTTAGTAAACAATTTGGGTTGTCAACATCTAAAACTTAATTAACGGTATGTAAGATATTACAGTTACATACATAATTAACCTTTTTGGCATTCTGCATTAGGCATTTAAATGTCATTACAAAGAAGCAAGCATTAGTCTTTGCAGACAATCTGAAAAAGTCCTGCAACAGAAATACCTAGAAGAAACTGGCTTAAAGATTATGTAGTTTAAAACAGAGACAGATGTTGTCAATTTGTAATTAACACAAATTAAATTGAATTAAGGGAACATGACTGCAAAGCAACACAAAGACAATGCTTTGAATGTTTTAAATCACCAATCCAATACCACTAATAATTGTGAAGTCAAAATGTTGTTTAATTTGAATAGGGTACTATGTTAAATTCCTGCTAATCAAATTTTAAAAAGGCAAACGGCAACTGCCAAATATCTACAGCTGAATTCCAGTTTCTCAGATTTAGATGAGAGACAAATAAGAACAGATAGAGACTCTTTAAAGTATAGCATGCATTTTTCATTAGGCACAAATAAAAAGTCTTCCTTACCTTTAATTGTTGCTGTAATTCACTGTTAAGTCTGGCCAAGACTGTATTTGTTTCCTTGTTTCTTCTAATTGAAGCTTGGATGGCTTTTTTGTCCTTGCCAAATGATCTGAAAATGTAATACATTTTTTGTATTATAATACAGAACTATAGAACTGAAATGGGAATTGTTAAAGAAGTTGCAGACCTTGCAGTATGTATTTTATTTTTAAATGTGTAATTCATGTTAAATGTTTTTATGCATTTTCACCATACAGTTGAATGAAATAAAAAAAAAAGTATACAGGACAACATTCTAAGATCAAGCACAGAGAAAAGGTTTAGTTTCTGAGATATAAAAAATATTAATTCCTTAGGTCAGCCTTCAAGCAAATACTGCTGAAGTTGAACTATTCCGTAACTTTGTTATATTTATCATGCACGAGTCTAATTCTGTAATATCTTGTCTTCACTGCAGTGCTGAATTTAGAAACACAAATATGTAGTAACATTTGATTGGAGATATTTACACAATAATTCAAATTAATATATAAAGCAAAAACAACTAGAAACAAAATACTGCCCTATCCAATATAACACCACAAAAATGTGGACCCTCTTAATACAATCACTAACAAATCACCTCTAACTGTCAGAGAGCGCAACATCATAGTAGTTTTCATACCTGGGAATTGAGGCCTGTGTAGCTAGAACAGCAGGTATGACATTGGATTTCTGTGAATGCTCCTCAACCTCTGGTCTGAGCTCATCTTCAGATTTTAACCTTCGGCGGACAGGCTTTGGAGGAGGGGCAAGAGGTGTGGACCCCTTGGCCTGCTGTGAGATAGGTAAGGACAGCTAATTCAAGTTTACCGACCACAGAAAAGGAAGCACAGGAACACAGGAATGTATCCCACATGTAAGCACTCAATGAATATTTTTAATCAGAATAGAATGTATTCATTACACAGGTGAAGAACCACAAATCCAGCTTTGCTGGGAAAAAATTAGGTGTTAAAATATTGGAGTATATACACACTCCACTCTTTGTGACCTCTCAACGTTTTCAATTACATTCACCCATTATTGGTTTCCTTAAATAGAACCCGTAGACTCACATAGACGATTTTCTTTTATGCTTCTTGTTTTCCCATTTGAATTGTGAAACAGCCTAATACTTAAGTGACCTTCTTTAAAGAAAATGTAGAAATGTAGAATTATATGTCCAATTTACTAGGGTTGCAGCAATGAAAATGTTTAAATTGTTTGACAGCTCACGAGTTTACTCATTTATGGTTGTACATTTGCATTCAGGTCCTATATGATTTTAGATTACAAGTGAGTCATAGAAACCAAAAAAAAAACTTGTACTTTTTTAAATGTTAAATGGAACAGTAAACATTTTCAGACACTGAATTGAAGTAAAAATACATCATATATCTACACATAACAGTGATCCTGGCATAAGGGAGCAGTTCTGTTGTGATTCCAAGTAAATGCTGTATATATTCTAAGTCAATGTTGGATAAGGATGTGTGCTTAGTAATTACTAATAAAATGAGTTAGCAGGTGGAAGTCTAAGACAGATAAGATCATCTTGGAGGCAGAGTAGGGGCTAGTTACTGAAGATATTTTGAATGCGTGGGCTGTATTTACTGACATTTCTATCGGCAACACTGGCAAGCTAGCAAAATAATTTAGTTAGGGAGTACATTTCCCCATTCACTTGGGGAATTATTAATACACTTCTGTATTAATAATAAACTTTTGGAGGTTCAGAACTGCCTTCCAACTAGCAAGCAAACTTTGGAAGCCTCAAACCTTTGCCCTGAGTTCTGAAACTGATTTATGTAAAGTCATCAACATACTGAATTTGAAGTTGCTGTTACTTTTTCTTCTCGGACTTCCGTTTTTGCAGTTCTTAAAGGTCCCACAGGTTCTCCTGGTTTATCAATCTATATGAAACCAAAAGAAACAGAATTCCATTTTCACAACAAGGATACACAACATTTAAAATAAGAGGTTTGTCAGAAAGCATGTATTCATTCTTATTTTCTGAAATTGAATTTGTCCAATGTTGTTGACTTTGAAATTACATTAGTATTACAAATTCTTATGTTTATTCTGAACAAATATGCTACTTATTGTATTGCAATGTTTTTTTTTTTGCCAGATACTCACTTTACAGATATTGCTTTATGCATCATGTTCATTCAAAATGACTTTGGATCTGTACTTGAAATAGGAATTGCGACCTATTTAAAATTAATTTCAAAAAGCATTAGAAAACCTAAATAAGCACATTCACTCTAATACAGAATGCTCTGAAATGTATCAAATGCACTACTTTGAAGGCAAAACAATTTAAAAATAAAATTATCCTGAATTTTGTTTTACTTTATTCCCTAGCCTATGCTCCATTCAGTACTTCAACTGGTTGTATCAAGTTTTGGAGCAGCTGGAGAAAAATAAAACATTTGTTTTCAGTTGTTTTTACATTAAAACATTTTGGGACTCCCAGTGAAATCTACACACAGTGCAATTTCCCCTTAATTTAATTGGTTACGCATGATGTTGCATGTCACCCAGGTGAGATGAGATACAATACGTCAGTGGTGTAAGAAGTGTGTTTTGGGATTTTTTGGGATGAAAAGTTCTAGACGAATAAGAAGAGATTATTAGTATTATTGTAGTAAAACTCACCTGTTAAATGTTTAATAATATCATAATAAAAATCAAAGTATACGTTTAATTAATCCACTATAATCTGCACAAAGCAGCATAAGAGCTTATTACATTTATTTGAAAAACAGGTTACTTAAAAAAACAATAATTTTTACAATGGCACATGTACTAATGCACTGCAACTTTCAAACAAGTTCTTTTATTAATAAAATATTATTTGCTAAATATTTGTTTTAATTAAAAGTTTACTTGAACCAAGAACACCAGCCACATTAGTGTATTTTCAAAGACTACTTTGAAAATCATTACTAAGATGTCAGGTTTTGTGACAAATAGCAGCTTTTGACTTACTTGTGTGTTCTCTGACTGTTTTTCACTGTCATCAGACAGCTGGTCTGTTGCTACTGATGCAAAAGCTTCAAACTGGCTGAAGTCTGCAAAGTTGGGCTGTTCAGGAATCTGCTGAGGTGAGGTACTGGAATGAGCTGCTAGAACATCGCCATCCACTGAGCGATGTCCATGGGACCCAGCACCCTATAAGGAACATCAAACACTTAAATACGGATAGTCTGAGAAATATAAAGATGGTAAGAAAAATGGTTAAATAAAAACTACTGGAAAAGTTAAAATAAAAGAACCTCCTGGAAGACTGATTCCTCTGGATGTGCATCACTGAGGGTTAAAGGAGAAAATTATGCCAAACTAAAAATCAAACATAAATCATACCAAATTGCAGTTCCATATGTTAAAGCACTGTAGTGGTGCAATGCATAACACCTCACTGCAAATGTCAGAGATTAATTCTTACACTAGGTCAAGTGCTTTCAACCATTTTTCCAAAGCTGTACACTTTCTGTCCCAAAATGCCAGAACAAGTATAACCTGCATAGTTGTTTTCTCTATGGATGATTAACCAAGTTATGAATGATAACAACAACCAAATAACATTTTTCACTATATACTTTCATATTAAACACTTTGTCACACTGCACAGTTACCAAAATACCAAACATCCATCCATCTCTTAACTGCTTTATCCAAATCAGTTGTGCGTGAGCCAGAGAGCCAGGGCCTATCCCTGCAATCAACAGACCCAAGACAGGATACACCCTGGACAGGATCCCAGTCCATCACAGGGCACACACAGAGACACGCTCACAAAAGGGCCAGTTTTCTCCAAAGCCAGTTAACCTTCCAGTAGGTCTTTGGACTGTGGGAGGAAACTGGAGCACCCAGCGAAATCACACAACTTCAATGCACATAGAAACCCAGATCAAGAATTAAATCTACAGCCCCAGTCCTCTGTGGCCGCAGTACTAGCCTATGTGCCACTGTGCCTCCGAATACTAAGAAGCAGTTCTTCAAATTTGTAATTTAAATTTAAAATGTTTTTGGGTGCTCAAGTTTCTATATGGCAAAGTTATTACTGAAAGCGGCCAATGTTATTTTTATCATGCTAGTCTACAATTTGCCTTGTAATCATGGAATTTTTAATATTCTTAAAATCTAGAAAGATAGCCTATTGACGTGCAATAAAGAGTGTTCAAAACTACAACGATTAATATTCTAAAAAAGGTCTTCTACTGATTTATTTTCACCTACTGTATCTAATGAAAATATATTAACCACAAAAAAATATTTTGCACATTTATGGTTTCAGCATTGCTGAGAGCATTTGCAGAGACATAGCTTTATTTCTGAAATATGTGCAATATGAGAAGCTCTTTCTGCAACTTATGTGAAAGTGGTAACTGTTCCATTCCTTCATCCATTTTCTAGTCACTTTATACAGTAAAGTGTCATGGGAAGCCAGTGCCTATCCCAGCGCATGGCAGGATACACCACGGATGGGACCCAATCCATCACAGGGGACACATGCAGACAAACACATACCAGGGCCAATCTTGTCAGAAGCCAATTAACCACCCACCATGTTTCGGGATTGTAGAAGGAAACCGGAGGACCCGGAGGAAACCATGCAGGTAGCACCCAGGGTCCCAGCGCTGCGAGGCAGCAATGCTAACCACAGTCCCACCGTGCCCCCCTGGGATCTTTGCATCTATACTTAATTGCTAGCTATTAAGCATTATTACTGTACTTCACATTGCTGAAAAAAAAATTACCAATCATACATTCTGTCATTTTACAAGAGAATACCTCCTAATTTCTTACAGCTTTACAGTTATAGTTTAAAGTATTTATGCATTAGTGTTCTTTGTCTCCAAGTACATTTTAATCATTATTGTTAAACAGGAAACTAAAAAGATCCTTCAATAAAAGAGACAAGCATAAGTTCATCTCCAGGACAATTTATGAACTGCGAGCAGGCATCGCTATTCTTAGTTTTGCTGAACTTTCTCTTTGTTTAAACTCCTTTTTATCTTTTGCAATGGATACATTTATACTTTTTCAGTTATATTTAAAGTAAACTTCAGGTTTAAGTATGTAGCTTCTTTTAATTCAGTGATGCAAAATGCACAACCCCGCAAATCTGACAGTACAGGAGTAAAATAAGAAACAATGATTTGAGTAATAGTACATGCTATTGTATTATTAGGTACCATAAGACCTGCAAAAATACTAATAATAAAACAGAACGTACTATTGATGAACATATGATGAGATCTCTTACCTGTGATGGCTGAGGTCTTGGGGGAACAGCTGGAGGGCAGGCAACAACACCAGCCTGCTGTTGTACTGAACAAGAATAAATTGAAAAACAAATTACAATAATACAACTACTGAAGTGTCTTAAAGAATCTAGATAGAACGGGTAACACCTGGTTAGTATCAAAATCTCCTGTTATCAGAAGCTTCAAAACAAGGTAATGTTTGCCTAAATTCAGTGATTAAAGTGATCAAAGTTTACCTTAGTTAACTAAGTTTTAGGTAAACAATTACGTGCCCATCAACAGTCTAGGAAGACGGCATAAAACAGGCAGGTGGGGGAAAAAACAGGAAAGAGACAGAAGGGACAACAAGGAACAGAAAGGCAGAAGGCAAGAGGTTCTCAACCAGATCATCCAGAAGGACCAGACTGGAGTTAACCATCTTGAGAGAGCCTGCCATTCTGTTGTTGTAAGGGACTCCGATTTCCTGTTTAGAAAATCCCTTGCTTACAAACAGCCTCTCCTGCTTTGTGGGTGCATTTTTACTTATATAGTGGCAGTCTGGGCTTTTTGTGCATTAACCTTATTAATAAATATTTGTTTAACAGTGTGCCTGAATTATTACTCTTTTCACCAAAGCTGTGCCTGAAAACAAAGAACTCGTATGCCTCCAATTATATCGGCTGCTTGGGTATATTATTGGCAAAATCATTTACAAGTTGGGGGTTATGCTTATTTAACTTACTTACCGATTAATCTGCACTGCCCAATTTTTTATTTTCATAACCCCCTATTTGTAAGAATATGTATTTCAAAACTCTAGAACATCATACACAATTGTACAATATCAAAGATCTAAAGGTACCACCACTTATCCTGCAAATAGAACAGAATTCAAAAGGCACAAAATATTCCTTCTATATATTTTTTTTTTTATTATTCTTGTGTTTAAATATGAGAAACATGCCTGGTAAGGATGAGTTTGAAGCATCCAAACACTTGCATCTCAACAGTCATAATGGAGTAAAAAAAATCAAGAGTTTTGAAATCAGGTATGTCAAATATGGACACACTTTGGCAACACATCAATAACACCAGTGGCATAACGCTCATGGCAGTAAGAACTGCTTACCTGTGGGTCCTGCAGCAAAATTCCTGTTCATATCTAATGATGAGGAGCGTGAGTGGGAAGCATGGGGTCTAGGTGGGGGAGGTGGTGGTGCACCTGTTTTCAGTCCTTCAGGGGAGGTTCCTGAATGAGACCTGTAACATTATAATGCATCTTAAGTTTCCTGGTGTAAAAAATTTAAACATTTTACAAATGCGCAAATGCTCATCGGTTACTCGATATTACATCATAAAGATCAAGTACAAACACTAATCATTTTTTACTATAACCAGTCAATTATTCTTCCCAATACAGGCACCTTGGGAAGAAAGAATTCAGTTCTTGTTTCCTGTATATTATTGTTCATACCTGAAAAAAAAAAATGGCTCACCAAAAATGCAAAACTAGTCAACCCTACTACTAACTCTGCTGTGTTTAATGATTATCCTGCTTGAATATTACTCCTCTAGAAAATGTAAGAGGTCACATCTCATCCTGCACTTTCTATCTCCTGACTATAAAATAGCAGTTGCGGTTTCCCAAGTGCCTCAACCAGTAAAGGTGCTTAACTCCAGCACAGGTTGAGCTGTTATCGTGGGTGTTTAATGTGGGTCATGTGACTGTGATTCCCTAAATGCAGGCACATAACTGGATCAACACTGATAAGGGATTAGTTGGTCAGGGCTCTAGCGGTCCTGTCAGTGAGAGACATGCCTCGTTTTCAATCAGCACTGAAACCCCTCTGTGTTGGTGGTGACATGATGAAAGACAAGTGGTTCAAAGAACATCCTCATTCACCCCCAGGTGAGGGTGATCTGGCCATATCCCTAACATTTGATCATGGTAAAAAAAATTGTATAAAAAAAGATTTGTGGAGGTCTGACTAAAAATACAAAACAGCCATGGTTTAAATATTTCCCTCTTAGCTCCAACTGGAACACTTCAGTTGTTCACGTGAGAACAGCAAAGGAAAGACATTCGGAAGTGTGTATTGCTGTGCTTGTATGTGGTGGTATTGTTTCATTTGGAAGGGAAGGAGGTAGCACAACAGGAAGCCCAAAGCCCACGCTAGCTAAGGTTGAAGGTGACTTTTAAAGAAACAGTATCTGTATCAGATGAGAGTGCCTTCTAGCAGTTAAGAGGAAAGCTGGTCTCCTCGTCCTTATTCACACTGGCGTGAACTCGAAACTGTGCCCATAAAATAATACTTTATCCTTAGCTGGGTTTTAGATAACAGACAAAAAAATAAGTGTACACACAATAGTTATAATTTTGTGAGACGTGGATTTAAACAAGGGACTCCATGGATCCTTGTGGTGGCTATTCTGGTAACTGGGCCTTTAAGAATAATTTCCAGAATTATTCCCACAGCATGTTTTAAATGCAGAGTCTATTAAATAAACATATTTCCAGTCTTGCAACAAATACAGCAATTCTTGCTCATATCACATAATTTTATGGTTGTATTTTAAATGCAGAAAAACTAAAGTTTTAAGTTTCATTTGATATTTTTGATTATCATGGAAAACTAGGAACCCAGCTGATCGTGTATATCCAAGAACCTTTTCAACTTCCTTGTTGCACTCATCCCAAAAAAACATGAAATGATAATGCTGAAAAATAAAAGCATAATCTAACTTCAGCCCAATGTGTTCATCTCACATTTAGTGGAAAGTTTCAGTATGTATTCCATGAAACAAACATCAAAATAGTGGTCCAATATGAATATGATCTCCTTTATTAAAGATATGAATCTTGATTATGAAAGGAAACATGAAGCTTAGAAGCCCCTGTTGACTTTGACAAAAATACATTCTTAAGAAATTTTAACCTACCTTTGGCGTGTTACAGCACTTACAATCTGTTCTGGATCCGATGCAAAAGAATCTGAACTACTGTAGCCATCTCCTAAGAAATAATATAAGCATAGCATTGAATATGATCACTGATCATAACTATTGTACAATACAGTCACTTGTAACTTTAAAATGTCATAATTACATCTGTTCTGAGCAAACTATTCTATTCTGCTCCCCACATGTCCAGATGGCACCCGGGCTGGGCACCATCTGAGTTCGATGCTGCATCACTACCATGGATCCAAGAGGGACATCATGGATATAGCTATCGTTTAGGAGGATTTTGCTGGTCTACAGAGATCTGCATGGAGTACTGACATACAGAAGACAAGATGGATGGATTAATACCTTTATTCATTTTTTCCTTTTTTTATTGTATAGTGTTAGCATGCCCAAAGGGGTTGGGCAGCCAGTTGACCTAGGACCCCTAGAGACCCCTGTTTTTTTTTCTCCTTACTAAGGAGTTTTTGGTTCCTCTCCTCTGTTATCTTCTGGTCTCCTGTTCTGTATTCACAACATGTATGGTCACTTGCTTTGTTAAGCACCTTGGGGCAACCTTGTTGTGAAAGGCGCTATATAAAAATAAACTGAATTGAACTTAAAAACATTCAGTCCATGAGGAACACAGGTGAGATAAATTGGTCATACCCACAATTAAGCTACCTGAAACAATTGGTGTGTGCTACTTACCTACAGTGTTGCCTGCTACAAATTTTATAGAAGTTGCTATCTTATTTTCTTCAGAAAGCTCAGGTGGTTTAGCCAACAAGGGACTAGTTGGGTGTGTATGATCTGTGAAAATATAAATACAGCCAGGGTTAAGTATTTTGTCAAAAATGTTAAATAAAACCTACAGGCAAGAGAGTGGAAAAGAGCCACTTGGTTACATCACAAAACATACAGTACAGCACTTATCTTTCAATGTTTTTTTGCCAATCTAGGGGAAACATTATTGAAGCATAACCATTTATGAGTATCTGTATTCCACTTCCACTTTAGAAAAAATTCAAGTGAGATCACTCTTATATTATTGCAATTTTTAATTAAATAGCATGCTTTTCTATATGGCCATATTGGAAAAGACTCAAAAAACCAAATGTCTTTAAACACAGCCTTTGACGTTCTGTTAAGGCAATATGTTAGTAATAAATGTATTTTATAGTTATATTTTAAGATTCATTCATCGTTAACAGAAAAACTCAAGTATAAATGGAATATGTTTGTTTAATATTCATGCATTACACAGGCGATTAGTTTCTTTCCAAGTGCTACTACTGATTATCTCCTCCACTCTTTATTCCTTATACCTCCTGAAGAAACCTACAATGGCAAATTACACAACTGCTAATATTAGTAAGACAACACCTTGATTGTGTATCTCTTCATGATAAAAGACATGCATCGGTTAGAAAGATAAATTTAATTTATATATGTCAAATAATGAATCTGTAGCAGTACAGTGGAGATTCCTGATCCTGAGCTCTGGGCTGCTAAATTACAGAACTCTACAAAACGTAAAAGCAGAGGATTTCACTGGTTGAGCCCAGTAGAAACTGGGATAAAGTTTTAAATGCAAATTAAATCCTTAAAGAGTGTGACTTTCTCTGCCTCAGTGTTGACATTAGAATGGAAAAGTATGTATTCTTACCACTTCCTGTTCTCTTCAGCTCCATCTCCTGCATATGAATTTTGCTGGGTGTCATACGAATGGGAACAGGATGAACAATTGCTGTGTCCTGTAAGGAAATACATTTCCAAGTTGTTTCTTTGTATATACATTATGTAATCCTTTGAGATGTACATGAACTTTGTTTTTAGGCTGTAAAAACTTGTTCTGGACATTTATTTTGTAAAAATAAGTAAGGTACAGTTATCACACAACCCTTTTAGTCAAAATGCTAAATGAGCACAGTTTATCTCATTACAAAAATAATGTATTGATAAATAAATCTTAATGTGATTAATGCTAACATCGAACTTTCATACTCAGTGGAATAAAATTGTTTTAGAACTACCATTTACAGCATTTTTAAGACATTAACACTTCGTCACAGAAACATTACAATCTCTCAATTGCATAGATTTGAGAACAGTAAGCAGCAATAACTAGGAGATTCAGCAAGCAAGATCATGTTTTCTCTACTGTTTAAGCAGATCACCACGAGCCCATGCATCTTAGAGAGACCACTTTAGTGGACAAATTTAGTATTAATAAAATAATTAATATGTAACAGGCAGACTGAGTGATTGACTTACAGGATCAGCTGGTGCAATGTTAGAATCAAATTGGGTCAGAGTTTGTGAGCTCGAAGAGCGTTCACTAAAAGTCTCCCACTGCTGAACAGACAGAGCAGAGACAAATTGGCACAAATCAACAAATTACTGGTAAGCTTTTCAGAAATGATTCATAATCTAAACTTGTCTTTTTAAATTACCAATGAAAGCATTTTTCAATAAACAATTAGTACAGTGAGGAAGCAATGGCTGAATTTTGTTAGTAAGAACTCTGATACAAAGAGAACATCCAAGTACATATAAAGACCACAGAATCCTTGCAGACAAAAATAATAAAATAAAAATCACTCCTCGTAATACATTTTCAGTGTATAGACACAATGTCAAAATTATCACTAATCACAGAATTATACTAATCCTGAAAGATTACTTCTTCCTAAAGTTCATTACAATTAATAAATGGGACTTAGACCAAGGATTAATTTGAATAACTGAACCTACAGTTCAATTCAATATCCATAGGAACAAAACATTTCTGTTTTTTTTCTCCTCAATATCAGGACCTAATCATGTGATTTAAAGTTAGAGTTTTAAAAAAACCCCAGGAAACAACAAACCCTGAGAGGGAAAGGAAATCACTGAAACACTTTAAACATTTTTAAAAGTTAATATTTTAACTTAGGGGTTTGCTGAAAATTTATCTGGACAATGCCCCTGAAAACATGACCATGATTAACAATGCCTGGGATTATATAAATGTTGTAATTTTCCAAGAATAACAAACTACATTTTAAAATGTAAAAACAGTAGAAGCCAATATTCCAACACAGTAATTTAACCTTAAACCGTGTCCATCAATAGTCTAAATGATCAAAGACATCTCCAACACCTATTTTACTGAATTACTATTGTAAGCTATTGATATAGTTAAATATCTTAAAACAAAGTGTCAATGTAAAGAAAGAGAAAAATACCAATAATTATAATATATTAAACCACTATAAAGGGTGGGTATCTACCCACTACAACAATATGTTTAAACAAGATTCTTTAAAAAAAGCCCCACACGAGCTAATGGCTTTGGCTGTATTTTGTTTCAGAAACCGGACTGTTGGATGTTCAGCCCTGCCTTGAGCATTATTTTACATCTGGGATGTGCAGAGTGAATGGAGAACAGCGACAGGAGAGGAAATGACAAACCTCACTGCTCTGGTTTAACTCCGGCCAATTCTGGTTTAACGACGGCATAGATGGCGATTTACTGGGTGGAACCTCCACTGGGGAACTGGAATAGCCCACTTCAGCTGTCTGGTCTGGGACTTCTACAATACATCACAGCACATACAAATAAATACATCTAGACAGGCTGTTATTATTGAAAAAACAAACTGGCTTTACTGTGATGACAAACTATAGCCTGTTTTTGTTCTTTATTATTGATTGCACATTTAATTAAGTGTGTGTGGAACCCCACTCTGCATGCATGATCTGTGCATTCAGGACCACTCTTAACAATTAAATTATTATTCATGGTATCCATTTACTTTAATTTCTATTCTGCAAAATTCCAAAATATACATTCATTGTACTGTATTGTACAGTACATTCAACTGTCAGTTTATACAACTCTCCTTGCCCATAGGTTTATCTCAAGTTTGTACAAGATTAAAGACCTGTTAGATCTTTTCCTCATACATAAATGCGAGTGAATGCTGTCTTTTTAGAAAATACTCTTACCAAGTTCTCGAACTAATCTTCATTACCAATATTAAGATAAAGGTGTAAATCTACTGGCACATTTCAGTGAAATATAATTTGAAATTCCAACAGCATCGCATTTATTCTGCAAACCACAAAGGATATCTTCATTTTCATTATATACATGTCACAAAAAGTTGTAAAACGATAGAGCAGTTATGGCAACTTGTAAGATTACAGAGAAAGAAGAAATAGGAAAATGGAATGGAAGGTTCAGGAAAATATATCAATTTGTCATTTTAAAACACTAATATCATCTGTACAATAAAATAGGAAAATGCATAAAAGTGTTCTATTAGTTTTTTGCACCCTCAGTCTAAACTGAAGTGACTGATCACCTAACATTCAAGTTATTTAAATGAGCATGTTTACGCTGTGTAGAGCTATGGTAATGCACAATCCTAAGTGTTTCACATTTAAAATTTTCTCCTGGTATTACGCGACTTAAAAAAAAGACTATTTAGCAGTCAGTTTGAAAACAAAACTATGATGTCAACAACAATGACCCTGAGCATATACTGTTTCTTCTGTTGTGGTACATTTGCATGTGTTTTTATAGCACATACAGTGCCCTCCAGAATTATTGGCACCTCTGGTATAGATGAGCAAAATAGGCTACAAAAAATGTCTTTGTTGTATATCAGCTTGATCTTAAACTGAAAATATAAGAGAAATCTAACCTTTCAGTGAGGTAAAATTATTCAAAGAAAACAAAATCCTTATAAAAAATAAACATTTTTCTCAAAAACATGCACCACAATTATCAAACCACAAAGCAACAAAAAAACGTTAGCATCAGATATAAATCTAGAATTTAAGACTTAAAGCCTCGTTAACACTTTGTGAATATATTCAAATACATTCAAAGAATTTTAGTTAAGCAGTAACCTTTTATCCAAAAGAAATGTTTACCTGTTGAATCATCCAAATCAATAAGCTTTGGCATGAGACTTTCTGGCAGTTTTTCTGGAAGATCATAACCATTTTTCCTTGCAACTACCAAATGGAACGCTGCACAGAACTCATCCAACGTCAATGCACCATCTTTGTCGAAGTCTGAAAGCTCCCTGGAATTCATAGAATAAAAAAATAATGCAGAAAGGACAAAGAAAATAATAAGAGCGAGAAAAGTCACACAATGACTATGGTTACGATTTATGTATAGAGCCAAGTTACACAATTTTACTGCAGAATCTGTTTTATTTTTAAGCACTTGGTGTGGCACCTGCAAGACAGGACATTGCAATGAGATGGAAATTGGAATGACTGTTTCCAACAAAGCTGCTACCATAGTCATTACTGCAAGGCTAAATGCAACACACCTCCAGTTTGACCTAAAAAAAGGGAAGATACACACCAATGAGGACTTAATTTATGTTAACTTTTTATTCTAGTACACAAAACAAGATATCCTTTGGTAATTGATAGTTATTCTTTACAATTCCAGGTCAACTCATGCATTCAGAATTCAGAGTGAAGATTAACAGTGGTTAGTAGTTTGTTTTTCAGTTATCAAAAATACATACTTTGTTAAAATGAAAATGAAAAATAACAAATACACCCATACTAACACTATTGATTAATAAATCAGTGAACACCTTTAATTCCTCTTTTTTTGCTTTAACAATAATTTTAACATCTGATTTTACTACTACGGGAATTCAGAAATACCCTGGTCTTGTTTGTAACCTTCAGCTCTTGCACATAATTTTACCATAATGCCAACGAAATCCTCTTCTTGTGGTACTTCACACAATTTAAGACTCTATTCAAGCAAACATGAAAACTATCCATAAACTCAATTTTGTAAGATAATAGCAAAATGAGAGAAAAATAAAATTGTTTTATTTTTTTAATTAACACAAAACTTTTTGAAGAGATCACAGATACATGATTATTGCTGTGGTGGTTGGAGGAGGTTACAACGAGGGTTAGGAATATACAGTACAAGGAAAGCAAAGGGGTAGACCCAGAACCAGGTAAATAAAGGGCCCTTCTAAAGAAGAAGGTTTTGAGTCGAGAACTGAAAGAGCTCAAAGACCCCCTCCAGAGCTTTGGGGCTCAGCAGGAGAAGTCCTTCCTTATCACCCATAGAGTGTAGACGGGCTTTGGGGACAATCAGGAGACCAGAATTAGATGAACAAAGATTTGCAAGGTAGGGAGTAGGATAATTGTAACTCAGACAGGTACTGAGGTGCCAAGCCATGTAGAGCCCTATAGGTGAGCATGAGGATTTTGGAATACACATGAAACCTGATAGGAAGCCAGTATAAGGATTCCAGTATAAGGACTAATAGGAAGCCAGTATAAGGACTAAGGAAGCCAGTACAAGGACTCCATTACTCCAGGGGTAATGTGATCACTTACACTAGACCTGGCACAGATTCTGGACTTACTGAAGATTGTTCAGTGTGGATTTAGATATCCCAGTGAGTACAGCAATACAGTAATCAGAAAAAGAACAGAAAACGAAAGTTTTGACCAACTTTTCAGCAGCAGTTAAGGACAACATGGGACAGTCTGAGGTGCAAAAATGGTTTTACAATATGTTGCATGTCAAATGTCAAGCCTGGATCAAATATTAGCCCCAAGTTCACTTAAACATGACGTGCCTTATATTCTGAGACAATGTTTGAATACACGTATAATATTTTTATATTATCAGTAAAATGTGTACTAGACTCAGTTTGCTTCTATAAAACAGACTGCATAAATTGGAAAATAAATGCTTGGCTAAGGAACCAATTTTTAGCTCAACATTACATACAGCAGAGTGTTACAAATGCAAAGGTACAATACAGAATTCTTTGTGGGCTGAAAATGGAACTGAGTTGGGAGCAAAAAATGTTTGCATTGTATGCTACATGCAAGAAAGAATAAATGCAATAATAGTGTTCAAACAACAAAAACAAACTAAATGACATAGCACAAGCAAGACGTAGGTGTGCATGATGGATATAAAGAAACGTCTAAAACATGAAGTAACTTTACATTGAGACCACCTTGTATAATGATCTAACATAGACAGGTGACTATTTTAATATATGGCATAATAAAAGTATAAAATTATACTAGGAATTCTTCTAGCTGCTAGTAAAAAAAGCTAATCGCAACAACAAATCTCCAATGGCTGAAAAGTGTATTGATATTATAAATGAGAATTATATAAATTTTCTATTAAAATACAGTCAGAAAAGTCAAAGGATAAAATGTATTTCCCCAATTAGTCCAGATTTCACTTTGTGAAGGAAAATAAAGCAGTATTTCTGTGCAAACTAATATAGATTTCACTAAGTAAATATATTTCTGTATTAACCCCTTATCTCGACTGGCACAATGTAAAAAGCTCTAAAAAACATAATTGAAAAGAAAATAATAAAAAATACAAACTTTCTATGTATACTTGTAAACTGTTTCATTAATGAATAAAAAGTAAAAAAAGGAAGTATAACCCATCTACCCCTACTTCCAATTCAGAGTCACAGGGAAGCCGAAGACTATCCAGGCAAGTTACAGGCACAGGGCAGGGTACACCCTGGGCAGGACATCAGTCCATCACAGGGCACACAGAGACACGCACACACTCACACAAGGGCAAATGTTCCCAGAAGGCAATAAATTACCAGTTTTCAGAAATTCAGAAATGTTTTTGAACTGTGGGAGTAAACTGGAGCACCAGGTGAAGTCACACATGAAGACAGGGAAAACACAAACTCAACGCAGATAGTATCCCAAGTCCAGAACTGAACCCAGGGCCCATGGGACATTGCTAACCACTGTGCCACCATGCCAATTTTACTTTTTAAAATAATGTTACTTTATTTTAAAAAGCTCCAGGATCAATGTGTTTCCTATGAGAGTGTACAACTTTTTTTCTAATAAGAGGACACTCCAAGCCCAAAATAATATAAAATTTACACACCAATTGTGAGACTGCCAATACACCAAAGACTTACTACAATCTACAGCATGCTGAGATGACTGTTACAATTCAAAGTAAATAAATCTAGATAATTTATTATTCATAAGTCTCTAACTTTCTGGAGGAAAGAATGGTCAGAGGCAATAACAGAGTATTGGATAATAATATACAGTCATTTATAGCTTCAAGCTCAGGAAATTAATTCTGAATTCCTTATGATAACAAATCATACTCACCAAATGTGAGAAAGCTCATGAATAGGTAACTTTGATTTAGTAAAAAATTCCTTTGCAGCAGATCCTGAAAAGTAAAAAGAAATTAGACTATTTGGAGAAGAATCAAAAGGAAACCATTACCTTCTTTCACAGATGTTCAAGAAATCTAATTGATTTACTTACCAGGGATGAACCCATTTAAATCAGGCTGAATTGTTTTAAACTGATTTATGTAATACTGCCTTTGTTCATCTGTTATTTTCCAGGGGTCATCATAACCGCTAGTTTGCCTTCGAATTTCATTTGCCATTGCAGCGGATGCTACAGTTCTTACTGTGGTACTCTCCTGAAAATACAACACAAAAATAACACACAAAAAAGGAAATACATATTTGCACAAATGGTCAAGGAAATAGACAAAATGTGTTTAGAGGCAGCTCTGTAAAAGCTACCATGGCCCATTCAAAAGTGGGCCAAAAACCTTGTTTTTCAAAGCAATAATGGAAGCTGAAATGCTATATTTTGTCAAGCACAATTGGGTGATCAACTTGAAAAGAACCTTAAACCTCCCTAAAATGAAGTTAAACCTGAAAAAATAAAGCACGAGGAAAAAGAATAGCAGACAATTACAATGAAAAATGCAATGCATGGTGAACACAAAATCCCTAGTAAGGCATGAAACATGTGTTACTGATCTATCAAGCAATAGTACGATATGTATTTCTGAAGCATGCACATTCCTTGGTGTGTTGCCATGTAAAATACTATTCTGTGAAATCTAATGAATTTACTGAACAAAGTGATATCTGTCTGTTTTTGTCCTCATTTAAAGGAATCAGACATGAAGGCATTTACAGTAAAATTAGTAAACCATATGTAGCTACTGTGCCTGTTTTAAATGATTTATCCAAGTCACAGAGAACACAATCAGAATGAATGCTCAAAGAAACCTTGGAATAGATGTGCATTTGTCAGACTCTTGCTGCCATTAATATAAAATGATCACACAAGCTCTAGACAAGTTTTAGACTAAGAACTGAGGACTGTTTAGCCATTACCAAGAAAGCTTATATATCCATTGACCCATGTGCTGCACTACCTGGACTGATGCTGGATGCATTGGTGGAAGTGTGCTGGTGGGTGGAGTATCTGTAAAACTGACCCAGCTTTCTTGAACTGGTGGAGGAGAGTGGGCAGACCACATCCCATCACCTGCCACTGGTCCTTTTACGACACGATTAAAGAAAAAGAAAACAGAATTAGAATCAATGAACATTTCGTTATTTAAAAAAAAAAACAATAACTCCTGCAGGTAGTGAACTAGCTCATTTCAGTTAAGCAAAAATTACCTATAATTCCTTAAAACAAGCAGTTTATCAGTAATTTTCTCTATTACTCCATCATGTTGTTATAAACACCTCATCCCAAACAAACAACTTTTATAAAAATATATTTTTATTCTTGTTACAATTAATTTACCTTCCGATTGTGGATGTTTAATATTATGGTCCTTAAACCCACGTGAATCACAATGGATGAAAATAAGAGATTAAAAAAGCTCTTATTGAATACTGTAAAACCACATTATCTGTCTTTCTGGAAGCTGCAAGTGACATCAATCTGCCACCAACAGGTTCAGCAAACGCAGCACAACATGAATGTTTACATGAAACGGGAAAATAACATTGCTGTTCCAGGAGAAGCAGCCATAACCTGTCTCACATTTTTAGGTATCTATTTTCTTCTCTGGAAACCAACATCTCCATGTGAGAGACAAAGACAAGGAGTTAAAATGCAGAATCATACTCAGTTATATGAAATGTAGGCTTTAAAAAAAAAAGAGCCACATTACTATTAACATCATCATCATAAGCAGGTGATACTTTAGCCAAGTGTTTTGCTATACCTTTTTGACAGCAGGGACTGGCAGGCTGTCATACTAAACTGTTTGTGATCACTTAATCCTTTTCAGGTCCAGGCTATTTTCACTATTTTCATTTACTGCTATATTTTGTTTTTAATTTAAACCTTTAGTTGTAAGACTTAAATGTAAAAGCTTCACATAAAATCCAAGTGCACACAGTGGTTTGATAAAGTCTGAATCTCAGCCTGTTCAGTATACAAGAAAAAGAAAGATAAAGGTCTGAATGGCTCACATACAGTGCAGGGAAAGTTCTTGAAAGTACATGAACTCAAGCCTGTGCTTTTGCACGGCGCTTTACAACACAGTGACAGTTTTAATTACGTTTTTAAACATCCTACTATAGAACTGCCATCCACAGGGTTGCACTTTGCATGAAAGCTAAAGTAACTTAATACAGACCTGAAGAAAACAAGACAGATAAGAGATCACTATTCTATGCACCTCCTATGCTCTATGTTCTATGCAAATCAGAATAGCTCACATATACAGTACATGGAACTATACAGTCGCAGTCTGCTATACATTGGGGGTGTGCTTTAAGAAAGTGCGCTGTCTGTTTTTTTCCACATGGATTCATGTAAATAGAGATCTGGGTCTGCACACTCACATACGTACATTTCTTCATTTTCTCTTAATACATTAACATTGCACATACAGGAATGTTTTCAAGAAATAATTAATGCAATATAAGAATGAAACATAATACAGATGAAATAATAATAAGCTCAGCTGTGCAATACTGCAAAACAATGGTTTGATTACCTTGAACTGGACATTGGAAATTGTTTTTCTTTTTTATATTTTTATTAGTGGTATTTGATTTGATTATTTCCACTTTATGAAAAATATTTATATGTTTTACATTTCTTCATTTGGAAGCCACTTTTTCCAAATGTATTTACAGATGCAAAGGTGGATATGACAATAGCATTTACTTAATGTGGTATGACAGATTCTTATGCTCTGTAAATCACATTTATGAATATTGAATGGCAAAGTTGAGTTGAGTATTAAAATGAATGATAAAATGCGGTATATAACCCAACAAAGTAGCTCCACAAGTTTGTCGTCTGAGCTGAATGCTGTCTTATGACTTGATCATTGAAGCAGTATTTTCAAAACAGAATTCTTGAATTTTGGTACAAAATTAGTGGCAATGTGTTTGTAAATCAACTGATAAAGAATCAACAAATAGGAGGGTTTAACTGAACACCAAAAGCAACATGAACACGCACTCCTGAAACACATTCACAAAGTTACCATAAAGAAAATAATCTTTTTTGTACTGACATTAGAACAGATGTGACATAAGTAAATTCATTATGTTAATTAATATTCTCCCATCCACAGTGAGTCAACACGGGATTTACCATTCAAGTCTCTGGCTAGTTGTCTGGAGTAAACTACATCATGAGGTAGGTGGGGAGGTCTTGTAGAGCCTGAGCTACCATGATTTCACTGGTCTCTGAACCCAAGATGTCACTCATCATTCTAGCACATCACACAAATATCTAGTGGGGCTCTAGTCTGGTGAGTAGGCCATCCACATCCTACCCGTCACATTCCCATCTCACAAGTCATTTCTTTATACAAGCAGCATGAGAACACATTGGCCAAATCCATTAAAGATTTTGAGACCAAATAACACTCTTACAGTTAGCTTATTACAGTATCTTACCTATTTTTTTACAGTAGCTTTCAGTCTTATGTTGTTATGCATGGCCACTTTACTGGGATGTATTTACTTCTCTTCATGTTTTACATGTATAATACTGTACTGCACTTTTGAGATTAAGTAATTATACATAAAATGTTGTGTTAATACAAAGCCTTCCTTTAATTATCCTTTAATTAGACAACAACTTGTCTACTCCCTAGATTTGAAGTGTTGCCAAAAATGAGATATTTTCACATTTTAAACTAATTATAGTTACAATTAAGAACACTATATATATAAAAGAAAGACTGTTTTAGTTTGACCAACAAGTATATACTGTTCAGTATCGTCCCAAAACAGTTTATCTAAATATCTCATATGCACACATGACATTTTGTGATTGCTGGATAATCATTCAACATAAGACCACAATTGCTTGCAACTTTGTAACTCATGACACTGTAACTGTGGTGCAGAAGACGCTTTGCAGTGTCAAAACCCTGCAACCCTTAATCTCATCATTCATTGCGTTTTTTTATACCAGGCATATTAACATACAATGCTTTGTACAATGTGTATAAAACACTTTCCTTTTGTATAGTCTCTTAGAACTCTAGGGATACAACCATCAGTGAAACACTGAACAAATATGATAAACACAAAGGTGTTCTTAAGTTCTATAAATAGCTCATAAGACTATCAGTCTCTTGACTGTTTAACCTTCATGTGTCCTAGATCTTAACACACAATGGTGGTAGCAACAAGATCAAATCAAAAACTGTAATGCAGGTTGTAAAATCATTACACTACTAATTGTAATGAAGCATCTAACTCTTACTTTATATTTTATCTGCTAGTAAGCAAGACAAATCAGAATGGAAAAAAGGATGCTGTAAATACAATTACATAATAAATAAAACTGATAATGGTCTTTGGAGTCATAGGGGTGCAATGGTAAATATTGATCATGTTAAGCTCAACAGATTTAAGTGTGGATGGCAATTTGTGTAGCACTTATCTGAAATGAACAGCAATGAAGTACCACAGCACAGTGACACATTAACGGGTGTTCCAAGGAAATTAAGTAAAATAAAATATGAATATGTTAAATGTTATCCATACATTAGTTCTGTAGAGTAACCAAAGTGTCAAATTGCACATTAAGCATATAAACAAGACAGAGGCCAACCGCTGGAAATCATGTGTGGTGCAAGTTTAGTTGTTCAGGTTTCACACAACTAAAAACAGGAAACCTGAAAAAGAGCTTTGTACGTCATTGTCATAAATTCCTGTCAGTATAAGGTGATTATGCAGTTTAAGTAACCTCTGATAAAATATTTAAAAAATGTTTTACTTCTAATATTAGTAATAATGTGATTGGGCCGGTGATGTATATATGTGTGTGGGAAAGGGGCACAATGCAGCAGAATGTTCATATTTAACATGTTCCACAGCACACTTGCATAAACACTGCTTCTGTGATAGGCTGATTGGTCGAAATACTAGTGCGCTGTATCATATGCATCTGTGGGGCACTTTAGCAGAAGCTATTTTTGGACAGAGCATTTTGTTAATGACACATATAAAGAGAAACAATATAATTTAATCTCTACAGCATAAAATATACAACTGTAGTAAACCGAGATAATGAAAAATGCTGCCTATGTAAAACTTCTTCAAAGTACCATTTTAAGTACCTGATTGTGCTTCTCCAAAGGGAGTCCAGACGGGCCCAGCTGTGACAGGTGGTCTTTCCGAGTTGCCACCACTTGGGTGTCGTTTGTGCTTTCTCCAATTGTGAGGGGAGGCTGGTGGAGATTGATGAGGGGAGACCACAGGAGAAGTGGAATCTGGCTAAAGAGGCACAAAGAACAAAACATTAACCAAAAAGCTTGGGAAAGCAAGGAGGTAACAACAATGAGAAATTTTACTAAGATATGTTTGACATTTACTACAGGAGATCTGAGAACCTGAGTTTCATTTCATACCCTCATTAACCAATGACCAGAATAAGAAAATCCATTGTTTAAGGATTGGTCTGATTTGGTCAAACTGGTTGTTAATATTTTAATAGCTTTTGTATTTAATCACTTCAAAGGATGTAGCTCAAAAAACCATACTACTCCAATCCCACAGAAATAGTGCCAGTGTGTATTTATCCTATTGTTTGATTACAGCAATAGCATATTTTCATACTTGTTAAAAATTGATCAATGCAGTAGTCAGCTTTGCATTACAATGTCACCCCCAAAACCCATCATTGTCAATTACTGGGGAATCCAAATGGTATGCAAATGAAACACAGGCAGTTGCCCTGGTAACTTCTCACATGTAAAAACATAAGTTTGTCACAAGATGTATGTTGGTTTAAAATAGTGTTACACAGTGAACAACAGCCCAGGAAAGAATCTTGTGCTGGTCAATCAGCATTTAGCTTCTGTGTCCCTAGAGCACAGAATAGTTTGAAGCAGATTGCAATAAAATAACTGTGCCTCAGATAACACATAAAATCACTTGAACAAACAACTATATGTCAGGTAAGAGAAGAACAAAGAATAAGATGAACTTTTAGATTAAGAGAAGACTCAATGCTTCTGTCACTCATCTGAAAGTGGTCTTGTTTGAAAATGTATAATGGTTAGAAGGTTATGAAAACTCTGCTGTCTGTTTCAGTACTTCATGCGTAGAGAAGAGGCAATTTTTAAAACCATTGATTGCAAAATCTTGTTGTTTAAATACAAAGTCTTGAATGCCCTCAGCCTCACATCAGTGTATTTGGCAGATCTGCCTGATGTTTACTCTTCTTCTCAATATTTACATTCAACAGACTGGACTGATTTGCATCCCAAAATTACAACTGTGCTCCACGGGAGACGTTTAGCACATTGCACTGCTGTGCACCAAAAGTGTGAAGTCCTTTATTAATTTTGAAATGTGGGTTTTAATTCATGATTTAAACATTTAATTTTTCTGTTTTCATTGTTATAATTTGCAGCATCTTCGCAAAAACGTACTCACTTTAACAAGTTCTGACTTATAACAAGATGATGTTATGCTTTCGAGAGATTCATCTTTCTGTCCAAAGTTGAAAAGTGAACATTCTGACCTTCTAAGTCATCATGTAATTTAAACAATTTACAGTTTTAAATCAACTCTGTTCATCTACTGCACAGTTTGTTGTATTTTTAGAAAGAAAAGCAACTTAAAGTTGCTTTATTTCTTGATTTCTCTATTCATGATTGATATATGTATATGTAAATACAACAAATTATGCAGTTCCACAACTAGTGAGTGCCCACAATGTTGCTCCTATTTACTTCACTTTTACTAAGTATTTTCCAGTCTTATAACCAAGGCTTTCTAAATGTCTTGTCAGCTTTGTAAATAGGTGACTGTGTACACTACAAAAACAACTATATCATCTCTTTTCAAACAGTTATAACAAGGACCTGTGCTGCTTTACAATAAAACGTTTTGTATAAAGGACATAATATATTTTAACAGATTTTAATAGATAACTGATTTGATGCAAGCAAACGTTTTATATGCTGGCATTGTCAACACAAAGATGACTATTCTGTAAATCTCAACAGCCTCCAGTGTCTGTCTATTGGGAAATCCCCCTATACACTGCTGTAGCCAAGTAACTTGTACAACAGATAATTCAATTCAAACGTTTTGATTATTTGGCTGCAATTCTCTTTATTAGAAAGCAATAGTAAAATTACAGAATTCTCAGAATTAAATGAGGGGTTAGAAAGAAGAGCAGAAATAAAGCACAATAAATACATAAAGGAAATAACTCTACCAGGTGAAAACACACCATTTGACATAAATGTAAGTGCTACTGATAAACTGTGTTAAAGGACCAGGAGCAAACTGATGGATATTTACCTGTGCCTCTGCTGTTTGAGCACGAGGCTGGATCACCTCATGCCCCGAGACTTTCTTTACTTGTATTCTGCCAGGAGGAGGAGGAATGACTCCAGAGTAAGTTCCTTGGTTTTCTGCGTCCGAAGAATACATTGCTGCATGTCGGGATTCCTGTTCATTTTTCCCCACCACAAATCGAGGCAGAGGAAGATCCTTCACTAATTGGAAGGATAAAACACAAACTTTTACAAGGACCAGCAAGACCAGCTTCTTCAAACCTAATCTTCCTTCCTGTCAAAGAAGACTTTTATGTAGAATACGATTTCTGAGGAATTAGCATTTTGGTTTTATGTTTTTTTTTCATATTTCTGTCCACATGTCTTCTTAATTTAGGATACTCTTCACTTTCATGCATCTGTTACAAAAATGGTTGTAATGTACATGTCTTTCATTAGTATGCCACATTTCATTATGTAGCAACTTGTGTTATTCCTCATAAAAATTTTACTGGGCTGGCTTTCAGTTTGGTCTTTGACGTTAATCTGTGAATTTCAAAGGGAAAATCTAATGTCAAAATCAAAGTATCCCAAACTGTAGTTTAGAGAGAGATCACTTTATTAGCCATATACATTTAGTTTATTTTAGTTTACACATCATTTTATATAGTAATTGCATGCTACATGATAGCACACTGCCAGTCTCAAAATAAATCTTTACTATGCAGCCTCCTAAATCAGAAGTGTTGATGCTGTAATCTTGTACCACAAAGATATACCAAATGATGGAACAACTGGAAGAAAAGAAGGCCATATGAAAACAAATGCTTGGGCTATGCAAAAAATGTTACTTAGCTGCAGGGATTTATATTCATAACTTTAAACTTGGTTCTTCCATTCATATGCATATTAACAGCATTTTATAATTGTAAATAATACAACGTAGGGAGCTAATTTGTCCAATATATTACTATATTTAATTAAGGGGCCAGCATAGCCCAGTTGGTAAGACTATGGACTCATAACTGAAATGTTGTGGGTTCAAGACCCTGCTGAAGCCACTGCTACTGTACTTTGAGGAAGGTACTTCACCCCAGCTGCTACAGTCTAGTCTTATTTAAAATTGGGGATCAACATTACTGGGGGATAATCCCTCCACACTGGCATCCCAATCAGGGAAAGAGTCAGACGCTCTGTAGTCCACTTAACAGCACAGAAACTAGGACGAGCTCTGGCCTAATGTGTTCTGTGGCCCGGGTACCGACTTCATTTAATTAAACCTTGTAAGTCCGCCAATACGGTGGTTGAAAACCTTGACAAAATGTTTAACTTTTCAAAACCCAGTTGGGCATTCCTCACATGCATCTCAGTATTCAAATGTGATAAGTATTGGCCTGGAATGTGGGACCTCTTTAAACTCTTTCAAGTTCTAGATAATATTTAATGCATGTTTTTGCCCACCTTTACATTCTGTTTCAAAGATGTACAGTAAGTCTTTCTCAACAAACTAAAGAAAAGTGGAAGTCTTAAAATAGCTAAAACCTTATCTTTAAACTGTGCATCACAAGAAGAAGAAAAAATTCTGCAGATCGTATGATGCCGATAACAGCAAAAAATGATCTTTTGGCATCTGAACAAGCAGAAGTTTGATTACTATACTTTTATCATGGTAGTTTAAACATTTCAATATTCTGAAGTGTTACAACATCACATTTTAGTGCATTTCATAATAATCACATAACAATCATGCAATGTCTTGTCTAAATTAGATATTTTTGTCTAATAAACATCTACACCCTTAGTAGACGTTAACCAAAATGGATGGGATTAAACTGCTATATGCAGAATATTACGCTACTTACTGTATTTTCAAGACTTTATATGACAATATTCTGAACTGCAGTTTGAGACAAGATTTGTGTTTCACATAGGATTGCCACATTAACTATACATAAATACATACATAAAGCTCTTATGGAGTTCACACTTTCAGAAATAAGAGTCAAAATGTAAGGCTAGAGCAGATAATGCTGGAATCTTGTGGCTAAACAGGACTAATGTTTCATAAGGTGTAAGACATAAGACCTTCAATTACAATCTGTAATAATCTGTCAATGTACTAGTACCACCTACAGTGAAAAAAAAAACACCACCTAACAAAGCTGTTTGGCTTTTGTTCATAATATATTATTTCTGGACCAGTTCTCTCTTTTTAGGTCTCGGAAACATTCTGCATTTTCTGACATTATCTTTAACACTATGTCAATGTTTTCATTAAGATTTAATAATTAATTT